TAATGTAGCCTCTAACTGCAATTGATTTACATCGGACAAACAGACCAAGCACTATGGCTCATAATACAATTACACCTTACCTGTTTGGACTATATTTTTATATTTCATTTTTACTTGCTGCCAGGAACGTCTGCTCTCACATCACATCACAAAATAAAATGTATAAAATAAAATATAATAAAATAACGTGTTAAATGGATGGAAATCCCTAGATCAATGTTTAAATTAACACTCACGCATTGACTCTGTCGGCTATGTTTTGCCATGCATGCTCCCTTTGTTTTGCAGCTGAGGCTGTGTTACTTTTTTTTCCGCGGAATTTGCATGTTATCGGCATATGCTGCCATCAGAATTTCGGCCTCAACCGCTGTAAAATACATTGACCGCGCCTTCTTTCCCTCCGTCTCCATGGTGACTCGCTTAATCTGTGCTCCACTAATCAGGGCTTTATGTATCCTCGTCCGCGCGCTTAACTTGGGGTTAAAGCAACTCCGCGTTGATTGAACTAATTGTTATCAGCCTTTCTGAAACCGAATATTCCGAGTTGGACAGTTCGGGGTTACTCAACCCTGAGTATCGTTTTTCACTCTGAGTTTTCTAAACTGGCTTCCTGAAATAGGGCCCAAGGCCCTATTTCAGGAAGCCGTCATGGTGACTCAGGAAGCGAGTCACCATGGAGACGGAGGGAAAGAAGGCACGGTCAATGTATTTTACAGCGGTTGAGGCTGAAATTCTGATGGCAGCATATGCCGATAACATGCAAATTCCGCGGAAAAAAAGTAACACAGCCTCAGCTGCAAAACAAAGGGAGATTGTGCTGAAAAACTGTAACGTTCACACAGAAAATCATCAGGAAATGATAAAATGTCCAAACGCGCTCTAATCACTCTCTCCCGGCAGAGAGCTCTGTGGAGAATTTGGGCTTCAACATCTACTGGCTCTTCAAGGAAGGAGCACGCCATGTCTGACACTTCCTACTGTCAGGTTTCCGACAAAGAGGCGGAGAAGGTCAGGGTTAGTTGAAGTAAACCTGCGAGGGGGCAGGTTAGCTTCACGGAGTGTGTTGTCATAGTAACTCACTCAGAATTAATCTAATCTCGCTTTGTGAAACCGAAAACCCAGAGTTTTCGTTAACTCAGTGTATACTTATTCAGATTTTGCACTAAACCGGCTTCCTGAAATAGGGCCCAGAGGATTCTTTAACGAATATATCTTTTAAAACTCTGAGTCAATTACATTTAAATGGGTAATATTACATTCACAATACTTTCATTTTAATTTTCACTTAATGTCATTCACAATATATTTTAAAGATGTCTAAAATATTTGCATGTAAAATATATAAAATTATTCCATGGAAAGTACAATACCTTATAGTGTATACAAGTATGATTAGATCATTGAATCAGTGTCTGTTGTGAGTCTCAAGTTGCCTGCAATGATATTTAAGGTCCAGCAGGTGTCAGTATGGAGTAAAACAGCACTGTGTCGACACTGTATCGATACAGTTTGGGGAATGTGCTGAAACGCTTCACGAGGCCTCATCTACCCATCACTAGTAATGATCCTGACTAAATGTTCTCTGACCACTGCATATCCTATTGGGTTGTCTGGGATGCGTGATGCCGAACTATCCACAAACACCACCGGAGTAGAGCTTGCCAGTGGTATGTCCTGTAGGTCAGGTCTGGAGGAGCAGATTTCAGAAAGCAGCTATAAAATCTTGTGGTTCACCATCTGCTTCTGTGTGGAGAAGTGAAGCTGGGTTTAGCATATCACATCTTTTACTGTGAAATGTAATCTTTCTAGTAATACAATGAGATAACATATGTTACGTCCCCATGAAGGAGGTCTAGGGGTGTGTGTGGGGACTGGTAACAAATGGGTCCAGAACAGAATGAAAGGAAACCAGACTGAAGTTTTTAGCAAATATTATAGTTTTTATTATAGATAATCTTAACTGAAAGAGCCAGCAATGCCGTTTTACCAATAACTCTAGAAAAAGAAAAAGGTCGCAACAACAAAGAACAAAACTCCACACCATGAGGCACTTCTGGGGGCCCACAGGCCCACCCTGTCACTAGCAGCAAGCTCCACTGCTACTGAGGCCCACAAGCCCGCGATACTCACATGAAGCAGCTACTCTCCCCACTGCTCCTACAACTCCACACCACAGGCAGGACAATCTCATAACAGGACCTCTTTCGACACCTAGAACACAATGTGGAGACACCAGAGAAAACCACCCTCCCACATCCAGTTCATCCCCAGCTTATACAACCTCAGAGAGGTGATTTCTGACTGGGCCCAGGTGGTAAACGAGGCCAATGAACAGCATCTGTGTCCTGGGGAGAGAGGAGAGTGAGAAAGAGACAGAAGGGTGGAGCAAGCAAAGAGGAGGAGGCGGAGAGAGAACACCACACCCACACAAAGGCAGTTTCAGGAGGCCCTGATATGGCTGTGACACATAACATAGGAGCAGCTAATAAATGCTTCCCTTTCAGCTGTTTCTGCTGCATGCAGGTAGAGGACGGCCTGCTGGTCCTTGTCACTCCCCGTGCTGCTGTATCGAAACAGAGCTTAAGTATCCACCTTTTTCATCCACTGTCTGGGTGAAACGTTTATTAGGATATGATAATCCTAAAGTTAGTGCAGTCTGTAGTGCAAATTTTAAGTCATGGAAAGCTTTCTCTGCATAATGAGTCTGCTGTAATCTATACAAATAGTTGTAATTCTGCCAAACCTCTTAAATTAACACAGAAACATCTGCACTTCAATCACATATAGATTGGTGGATTTATTATCTGTCATCATATCATCATTTTTCAAATACTCATGGACCTAAATGAACAGCTATGATTAAAAGCAGGCATGGTGATGTAGTAGTTAGCACAGTGACATTTCTTTTCTTGATATCTGTTTTCCTGTGTGCCAAAGCACCTACTGTAAGATATATTAAATCATTTTAAACTTCTTTTTTTATTAGTAGATTAGACCTGCAGATTGACCAAAATTTTGGACAAACATCATCTAATACCGGCCCTGGTGACTTATAGTGTCACCAGGTATGGCATTTATACAAGATTAGTGGGAGAGAGACCCTGGCAACCCTTTACCTCTGTAACAAAGCGCACACACACACACACACACACACACACACACACACACACACACACACACACACACACACACACACGATAGAAAGCGACAGCAAAAGGAGGAAGAGAGAGAAAGAAAGAAGGGTGAGTCTTCGTATTTTATTTAGCTTATTATCATTCCTCAGTTTGATCAAAAATCAGGTTACGACTCCTTAATAAAACTCACAGTGCATCTAATCAAGAACCTCCTCTGAAAACATTAAAAAGAATACAAACATCATCTCTTCAACGTCATCTTTGTTATGGAAAATTTGTAATTTATTTTATTCACATAAAAAAGGAAGTAGAGCATTTTTTTTTTAATAACCACGAGTTTAAAAAACAGTCCGATATTGTGGAACAGTTCTTCGCAAAGCCCTCCCCATTTGTCGATTTGACAGGAAGGTTTTTTTTTTAGTTTTCCATTTTGTCTGTGCCTGTGAAACGTCTCTTTCAGACTCACCGATGGTCACACAGGAGTAAAATGCCTGAAGCTGAAATAGTTTATTCTGATGTCAAATTTAAAAGAGGGACGATGGAAACCAAAGGTGAGTTGATTTATTTGTGTACTTATGAGTTATATTTAATATGCATACAGCTTAATATTATTGGCTTTTTGTTAGTTGGAATATTAATGGGTTACACTTTATAATGTGGCTTAATCACAATGTACATCAATGCAATTTCAATGTATTTTTTAAATTACAATTTTATATATATATCATATTTATGTCCAAATACTTAAATGTAGGTACACTAGAACAAGGGGGTAACAAGTTAGGTTATTACAGGAAACAAAGAAAGGATTACTTACAGTGTAATCCTAAGTACAAAGTAAGTAACTTAAGTAGTGTATAATTGGTACCCATGGTATGTTTTTGTTGAAAAATACAATATTTCCCCATCTTACATTGAAAATATGTTGTACTGTACGGGGGTGGAGCCCACATTGCTCCTGCCTTTTTATATCTTTATATTTTTGTATCTTTATTTAATGTTCATTATGTCGATGTGGATGATGGATTCTCAGTTATTTAGTTGTGCTTTTATTATATCAATATAAATGTGAGAACGACTGTTCTTTGTAACGTACAAGAAAAAAATAAATGCCATCAAAATGTGTAGGCCTATGTGGTCTTTTAATGATGGAGCCAAGTCTAACTTTTTTCCTTTCACATTCACTGTTCAAAGATAACATTAACAATAAAATGTTTTAAATCACTGTTGTATGCCTGCCTGTACTATAAAGTGGGCTAAAATGAAAAGAACATGCACATCAGCTTGAGTATAAAAGGACATGTCCTCAAATGAGCACTGTATACATGATGTATGTGGAAATGTTATTTTGTCTGCAAAAATTGTTACACTGTATTGTAAATGCACTAACACCATACTTAATTTATTTATTTTTTTACAGAAAATTTATTTCTTTGTTTTTTCATTTTTGGGGAATTATGTCCTTAGGATCTAATTATAGTGGACCTTTGAATTTAGTGTCAATATCATTCTTTTTAAACTTATATGTTATCACAAGTTAACAGAAATTCACGTGATACTGAGTAGCAATCACATTTTACGTTGTAGGCCCAGAGCCTGTTTCCTCTTTGGCTGATTTGACTTACTCAGATGTCAGGATCTCACAGACAACTTCAGAAGAGCTGCCTGGTAGGTAAAGAGCATGAACAGTTTTTCTCTCCTGGTTACATTTTTCTCCCTGTGCTCAATTTTTTCTGCCTAAGTCAGCCCAGGATTTTATTTACAAGCTTCAGTTTAATTCGGGTTTATTTACATAGCACCAAAACAGTAGCCTCAAGGAACGTTAATCTATAAGGAAGGGATGTCGATCTCACATCTTGGTGATATATGTGTTTAGAGGCCTCTCAACAAACTGTGAAGAGCACAAGGTCAAAGGTCACCCCAGAGAGAGTAGCCCTGCTGGTTCTCAGTGCTCTTCTGGCTGCTGCTGTTGTTGCCCTCTGTGTTACCAGTGAGTGTGCACAATTTTCTGATTTTAAAAAAAGATTTTTCCCAGTAATGTTTGCAGCATAACTAAAACTAGTTTAAGAACAATTCATTAATGATTTGACTTCAGTTAGAGTTTTGTTATGTTCTGCAAAAAAGCCATAAAGACTAAATAACTAATAAAACTCTAATCTATGTTTCCTTTATGGTACAAGAAAGAGACTCTGAAGCAAAACCATGCAGCACGGTGCAGCCTACATGTCCACAACATCCTGAAGTTACAGGTACATAAGTTGTGGATTTATTCTTTTAAACATTTGTGTCCTCTGATGATGATTAAAGAAACACTGATGGACTCACAGAAACAGTAACTTAGTTTGTATCTGCAGGACAGAAGGAGCTTCCTGCTGCCTTCAAATCACACAAATATGAACAGTTTCTTCCACCTGACTGAAAGTTTTGCTTTAATATCTTCAAAGGTGATCCATGTTCTAAATGTGAAGAAGGCTGGGAGCATCATGGAGGAAAGTGTTATTACTTCTCTACCAATAAATCATCCTGGACGAAGAGCAGAGATGAGTGTAGAGCTAAAGGAGGAGACCTGGTTAAGATAGACAGCAGAGAGGAGCAGGTATAAAAAAACTGCTGCAAGTTTTGGTTCTCACATACAGTGGGGCAAAAAAGTATTTAGTCAGCCACCGATTGTGCAAGTGCAAATCCTACCATGTGAATTCATGGATTTTTTTTTCACATTCTGTCTCTCACAATTGAAGTGTACCTCTGGTGCAAATTACTGACCTCTGTCATCATTTTAAGTGGGGGAACTTGCACAATCGGTGGCTGACTAAATACTTTTTTGCCCCACTGTATTTAACCACATCTTTACATTTCTTTAGCAAAGAGAAGTGTCACAAAATATTTTTGATCAACTTTTCCTGTTTAGGAATTCCTGTGGAAAAAAATGAGAGGCGTAATGAAGGATCATGAAGACAAGTTCTGGATTGGACTGACAGACTCAGCAGAGCAGGGCAGATGGTTGTGGGTGGACGGATCACCACTGAACAACAGGTTTGATTGATGTGGGGAAAAAAATCCCACTTTCAAAATTAAAGTTAGCAGCGTTTACTGAGACAATTCTTTTTGATCTTCATCTCCTAGTTTATCTTATTGGAACTACAATGAGCCGGACAACTGGAGAGAGGATGACTGTGTAATGATGGGAGAAAAAAGTCATGGTTACCAGAAGAGTTGGTCTGATACATCCTGCAAAGTGTCTCGCAGAAGTATTTGTGAGAAACCAGCAGCGAAATGACAGAATAAAAGTGTATGTGTTATATTTTTATGAGATGTGTTTATTGAGGTAATGTTTTGCTGCAGCAGTGTTTGCATCTGTGAAATAATAAAAGATTGTTTCTTATTTTTCCCTGTTTTTTCTTTTAAGAATTAAAAAAAAATCACTGCTCACACCAATGTGTGTGGTGCCGAGAATCAGACAATGTGTTTGTCCATTTATTCACTGCAAAATGACAAAATGTATATGTTATGATCCAGACGGTCTTGGGGTGAAGGGGTAAGATTTAATGAAAACAATGTAGAAAACCATCGGGGTAAAAGAATGAGTTGGAGGCCGAGGTTAACAGGTTATCTCTGAAAGGAAATTTAAAAAGTAAGAGTCTAACAACAAGTCCGGTGCACATCTGCTGCAAAAACACACTTTCTGGATTCCCTCCCAAGCAGGAGTATCATGATGACTAGCGGTCCTCCTCCTGCATCCACAGACACCCTTGAATGGTGTAACTGCCGCCTTTGCCCATCTCCCCTTCCTCTCTAAAAGGTGCACCTGTAATTATGCGGGCAGAGGGAGGTAAACAAATCCTGCAGGGGAGGAGAGAGAGAGAGAGAGAGAGAGAGAGAGAGAGAGAGAGAGAGAGAGAGAGAGAGAGAGAGAGAGAGAGACTGACACACACACACACACACACACACACACACACACACACACACTGCTGTAATATAAATAAATCTATGATTAGTTTTATTTGTTCAAGCACGGATAAATCCACCCAATCCTATAGTTGAGCATGCATGAGCAACTATCCACAGAGGAACATAAAAGGTAAGTACATGCATGTAAATATATATGAAGAAACAAGAAAATAACTTGAATGTAAATCATGAAGAGTAGAAAAAGTTTTGTGTGATCGGACAAGCATCAGTTTGAACAAAAGAAAGAAAGACAACCATTTAAACAGATGACTGAGGTATCAAGACAGAACTAAATGAGGAAGTAACCATGACCATGTGTGAAATTTTAACATGTGGTTAGCTGATACCAAATGTCTGATGTTTCCTGTTGATTTAAAGTGTTTGTGTCTGTCACATATGGCAGCGTGAGAAACCTCTATCCTCTTCTATCTGATATAAATACACTACAGTGTGTTAGGAACATGTATTTTATAAACATTCATTTAAAGCATTGGCTCTTAAGCAATCAGAATATGATATTCCCAGTGTTTAGAGACACGATAAGGATGGTGGGGACAATTCCTGGATTGTATTCTCAGACTCATCGTAAGAGGGCAGATGGTTGTCCAATTTGAATTCTGAAACACATTTTTCCTCAATAGCTGTGTCAGCATTAGTTCATATGATGGGATTAATCATGATGGTTGGGACTGTGAAAGTACCTGGATCAAAGAGGGAGATCAAGGCCTCATATGCTAGTTTCATATATGTCATGGTCTTAGGTCATTGATTCAATGCTTTAAATTTATGAACTTCTTGATTAATTATTATGGTGTTTCTGGAGCGACTTATATTTCCTAGTTTAGTTTTGCTTATATTTATTCGTTTTTCTTTCTACCTGTAGTTCTGGTTTAGTTCCCTTAGTGTTTTCCTTCCCTGTGTGTTGTTTGCAGTGTTTCCTGTGTTTATCAGTCTTGTTGTCACGTCCCATCTATTATAGTCTTTTTCTCTGCATTTAGCACACTCTATAGTCTCCCTCGCCCTCTTGGTGGTGTCTCTGTATTTCATCTTTCTTACCTTTTCCGGTGTTGCTCTCCTTGTGTTTCATCTCATCTCCGCAGTCTGTCGTGTATTTCATGTCTTGTTTCTTATTCCCTCTCCTATTGTTAAGCTCAAAGTGTTTTATTTTTAAGCTACCCTGCCTCATGTGTGTTATGTTCAGTTTTGTCGTGCAAATTTCCTAACAGACATATTTCGAAGTAACCAGCAGCAGCTAGACAGTGCACAACTTACGCTTCAAACACTTCCTTTGTGGTCATGTGTCTATAAATGCCCTGCATGCTGTTTGTTCTTTTTTCAGTGCATGATTCTTTTTTTTTGTTTGTTGTCCTCTCTCATGGGTACCAAGGCTATTTGAAGATAAGAACTGAGAAATGAGACTGAAGAAGAAATACTTAAAGCATCATGGGATGCAGTCCGTCAGTCGCCATTCAGTGGTTCGTATCTTCACCTGCCTGTCCTCCTGACTGCCTATCATCCTGTTCGTCTCCCTGGAATCCTCTGCCGTGGGCACTCCTTCCTCCAGTTTAAACGGTCCCGATTACGGCGTCCCCGTGTCGTTTATTTCCCGGTCTCTTCTGTGTAGCGCCAAAGCAGCGTGTTCTCTTTGGTTATTCCGGGTCACCTTTGGTTGAAAACTAAAGTTTGTTTTGTGTGCATTTCTGCTCATTGTGTTTGCTTTTGGGTCCAGCTTGCGCACTAGAACTACGGTTCATGACACTTTTAGGACATCCTGATAATAATGAATTACAGTAGTCCAGCCTGCAAGTAAAAAAAAATGCATGAACTAGTTTTTCAGCATCGCTTTGAGACAGGATAATGAAACATACACAAGAGATATTGTGCAAATGGAAGAAAGCAGTCCTACATATTTGTTTAATATGTGCCTTAAAGGAAATGACTCAAATATTCCTCACAGTGTTATTAGAGGGTAATGCCATCCATAGTGAGTATCTGGTGAGACACCATGTTTATAAGATTTTCAGGGCCGAATACGGTGACATGAGTTTTATCTGAATTTAGAAGCAGAAAATTAAAGGTCATCCAGGTCTTTATACCTTTAAGCAGAGGTGGGACCAAGTCATTGTTTTGCAAGTCTCAAGTAAGTCTCAAGTCTTTATCCTCAAGTCTCAAGTCAAGTCTCAAGTAATGTCAGGCAAGTCAGAGTCGAGTCTCAAGTCACTGGTGTAAAAGTCCGAGTCAAGTCTCAAGTCTGAAACTTTGAATTTCAAGTCCTTTCGAGTCTTTAAAAAAACAAAAAAAAAAAAGCATGTTGCAGTTATGCTAAATGTAAATATTAGACCATGTAATTTTAAAATCTGTGTTTTTCTCAACACATGACAAAATAGTGAACTTAGAAAATATACACAAATTGTAAAATTGCACCTCTTTAAAATGCAGCTCAATTAAACCTAGCTCCAAGAATAGTTTTCACCGACGGTTCTGAGATAAGCTGCATGTTATTCTTGGATGCGGTTGTAGGACCAGCTTTAAAATCGCATGACAAAAATATCATACACATTAAAAAAACTGTATCACCAACGTAGCCTGGACAACATTTGCTAGTTAGATGAAGTCAGCTATCTCATCGTAGCATATTTATATGCATATTTATAATTATACGCTTCTTGGAGTGAGTGCATACACTCATGAAGTTTAGTAACTTCAGGTCACTGCAACAAGCCCAGGTACAGTTTACCGCCGGATGGGTGCAGGACCTTGAAACGCACCGTGTAGAACGAAAGACCATCGTACGTATCATAAGTTTACCAGTCTCACAAATTGTCGTCATAAATACACATTCCTTAACCGTTTATTAATAGGACCTTTGAGCTCAACGGTAATTAATTAGTAGTGGAAATAATTTCTGGTAGCATCACAGAAATGTAGCAGTGACAATAATATTGTATGCTGTAATCGTACTGGGCAATTAGTGATACAAAAAACCTGTTTTATCCTGTGAATAAAAGTATATGTTTTTGTCAATGTACCATAATAACAGAAGCGAAACACAATATTGTGTCAGGACAATTCACTATTTATGCACAATAAACAAAGGAGCATAGCGCGACAATTTCTGTTCAGCGCCAGACTTGCTTGTAACCTATATCACCAATTATGTTAAGAAAAATGACGCATTAACTACAACAGCAGACTGACCTTTGTGTAAATGCTTGGAGCAGACTAACCTGTGAGCTGGAGTGTTCTGGGACGTTATATTTGATCTTTGAATGGCTGCAATCCAGGCCATCAGTCGCGTCTTTGTTACTTCGGAAACATGGCTCGAACAATTTCTCTTCAACGACGTAATCCGATAACAACCGATCTCTTTACCCGTCGGCTTCCCGTGGCTGTCATGCGACCGGCTATTGCAGTTAATAATACAACAGCTTCTTGACATTTTTGTGTTTCTTTTTATCGCTGTATAACTGATTTTAATTGAAAGCCTAGTACCGCTTGCCACGAGTTCCCAGAATCCTTTGCGGTTCTACCCGTGAATGACGTCACATTTTCAATCTCTATATAATATGTATGTTAAATTTTATATTTGGGGTAAAATATCAAGTCTTTTCAAGTAAACCGGTTCAAGTCCAATTCAAGTCCCAAGTCATTGGTGTAAAAGTCCAAGTCAAGTCACAAGTCTTAGAACATTTTTTCAAGTCAAGTCTAAAGTCATAAAATTAATGACTCGAGTCTGACTCGAGTCCAAGTCATGTGACTCGAGTCCACACCTCTGCCTTTAAGACATTCCTTCATTTTAAGTAACTGGTGTGTGTTGTCTGGTTTCATGGATAGATAAAGTTGTTATGCTATGCATGTATTGTTTTCTATACACACAGACAGTGTAGAAATTTAGTCACTGTGTGGTTTCAGTGGACGATTGCGACAAAAAAAAACAGACAATTTTTTCCCTTGTGGTTCTGGTTTAGTTCTTAGTATTTACCTTCCCTGTGTGTTGTCCGCAGTGTTTCCTGTGTTTGTCAGTCTTAGTCTCTGTGTTCAGTTATTCAAAGATAAGCTGTAGGGCTGTACTTCAGGTCTTCTCTCCATTCTTTAACTTGAACAGGAAGTTTGTATTCTCCATCATAAAGGTTTGAACAACTTTTTGAAGCCACAAAAGTGTAAAGGAAAATATTTATGAGTGTAGATGCTGACCGAAGATATACAAATTGGACAAGAAAGGGGAACCAACATGACCCCCCCACCCCAAAACTATAGTCATTAAAAAACTGACATTCAAGGAAATACTAAACACAGCACAGAATTTGAACATAAATACTTCTTAAATTG